CTGTAATTGGAACCTACAAGCGCCCGAAAATACTGGCGATATACCACACACAACCGCAATTTGCCACAACCCATCATGCAACACCAACTATCAAAGCCTCTACATAAAAAATATTCTCACAAAAAAAGTTTATCAAAGTGCGCAGAGCACTCATACGCCCCCGCTGGCCAAAACTTCGTTCAAATTGCTGCCAGCAAAGTTTGAGCTATGAGTAACTGTATATTATGTATACGTGTGTGTGTGCATGTAATGAATGCGAGTGTATTATTATGTCAGAGTTGGAGACCACGTGCAGCTGAAGTTTGCGTGAAGATGTCAATCAAAGCTCGACAGCAATGATGATGGTTATTATTTATGAGGCGGTAACGATGATTGCGCGCAAGAGTTTTATATCACAGATTCTGTGCAATGCTTGTAAGTGAATGCGCAAATTAGATATTTGCTGATATTGTTTGTGTGTGTTGCCTACTCAAGACAGCATAAAAGGCAGCTGCGTGTCCAAATATATTTAAGTAAGAAAATAAACAAGAAAAAAAAATCACAATTAAATTGTCCCTAATTGGTTTTTGATTCGAGATAATTATGGGCTCGAAAGCAGGCTCGCGGTTGTGGGTAGCGCACATATGTGTAAGCGCACAGTGTGCTGAACATATAATGAGCATGAATTTACTGAGACATGCATATATTCTACTAGCGAGAGAGTAAGAGGGAGAGTGTTCGGCCGCTATGAAGTAGTGGTATGTGCAATACCGAAGGATGGAGGAGGTAGGGGTAGTGAGGCTGCAGAGACTGTTAAAACTCGCGTCAAGCGAAGGCATCCTACAGGATGACTACTTCTCTTGGACCTAGGAACTGAACTTTATCTGGTATCGCAAAGGACCAAAATGGATGGCTTATTGGCCTACCAGTTTAACCTAACCTAACCTATTTGAAACTACAGCAACTAGATTACATCCAATCTTCCGAATAATATGAAAAATGTTTTGTTTTTTTAGTCATTACCCCCCGGGTAGGGGGGGTAACGTGCTAATTCTATATTAGCCAACGACGGTGTGAGAAATAGAAAGTGCGACCGCTACAGTATAGCAGCTAAATATATGTATCACCAACGGACTTTAATTTCTATCCAGTAAAGAACTGTCAATGCGGCAGCATTCGTAGCTGAGAGTGTACACGGAGACCGTGGAGAGTCGATTCGACGCCTTGCGCAGCAACTCGGACTGAAGTATGCAACGACTTGGCGCATATTTTCGTCAAGATATTTAAATGATAGCGTACAAAATACAGTTTGTGCAAGAACTGAAGCCACTCAACCTTCCCAATCGTCATTGCTACGCTTATGAATTGAAAGGTTGCAAGAAGATCCAAATTTTGTTCAGCGATGAGCAACCTAAAGAGCTGTCATCGGTCCACATTTCTTCAAAAATGATGACGATGAGAAGATAGCCGCCAATGACGACCGTTATCGCGTTATGGCAACCATCTATTTGATACCTGAAATTGAAGCCCATGATCGGCGATATTTAGTTTCAACAAGACGGCACCACATCCACACAGTACATCAATCAAGGGATTTATTGAGAGAACACTTCGTTGAACAGATAATTTTACATTTTGCGACGGTGCGATAATTTAAGGGAAGTATGCTTGCCATGTAGAACTCATTTGGTATACGAGTTTGATATTCAAAGAGATATCTAAGACCTATTGTAGATAATCTGGTGTCTTTACGAAATCGGTGTAGAACCATCAATGGAAAATATAATTCCTTTTCATTAAGTATCTAAAGTTTATAAAGCCACCTATTTAACGTAATTTAATCCACTGTGAAATAGTGTGTTGTTGCTTTTATTTGCGCAATCAGCAAACGTTTTGATAAATATATTAGCATGACATAGGCAATATCCAAAAAAAAATGAGTAAATGTGCGCATGACAAGTACGTAAATACCTATGTTTAGTAAAACGGTTAGTGCTTGACAATTTGTGTAATTAATTAAAGTCAAAGATCTATTCGGTGTCCTCCTTTTGTGCGCACGCAATGATCAAGTACTTTTGATTGGCTTACCCACGGATGTAAAAACAGAAGTGGATTGACACTTAAAGCATAAAGACAGCGCCAGCAACTTTTGACATTTAAGTGAACAGTTTAGTTATTGTTATATATCCATAACAAAGCTATTTGTAGAACTGGTTTTTATTTTTTTTTTTTGTTTTTTAATATTTGGACATTTATCAATCATTTAACTGTATGGATATTTATGAAAAACCACCTACTTCCTTCCATCACAAATTTCCAAAAATCTCGTTTTTTGCTTTCGATTAAATTATTTTCTATTTATTTTAATATTTTTATTTCTGAACGAATTTTTTAAGTTCGTAAGAAGTCTGATCCCAATTTATCAATTAGTGGGGAGTCAGTTAATATTTACGACGCAAACAGTTTCTCTATCGATTTAGATCATAGAAAAAGAAGGAACTGCTATATAAGATTGGAATCGCAGCTACAGGATCGTTGAAAATGGTGCAGACATCTTTTGAGAAGTCCACTTTTCCACGAACAACAGTTTTGGAGTGGCAGAAATCATGCAGTGAAAGTCGTGAAGATATCAAAAACTTGCCTCATGCCCGTTGTCTATTCATCTGTATTAATGACGATAACATCGAACACGTAAAAAAAAAAAAAAAGTAAGGAAGAGGTAATTTCGGGTACAACCGAACCTTTTATAATCTTGCAACTTGCAAGAAGCAAAGTCAGGGTATCTTAAGATGTAAAATGTCAAAGGATCGGGATCTAAGGCCGACATATTGGCATAAGATTTGTTAGAAAATAATTGTACTTAGTTTATGGGAGTTGGGGTAGTATCGATCCGATTTTAACTGAGTCAAACCACGTCACCCTATGACATAAATATTTCGTAAAAATTGTTTTTTTGTTAAAGTTATTGAAGGTTGAAATTTAGAGAATGATAAAATTGTAAAATTATTTTCCCATTAACTACTGGAGATAAATCGATGAAATTTTGTGAGGTCAAAGAAAACTGTTCGTGCTATATTGTAAATATTTTTTCATGGTTATTTTGTTTAAATAATAATATTTTACATAATTTTTTGTTAAACAATTGAAATTTTATCCATTTTCAAGCTGTCCGTAGGGGTTTATTTAGTATTGGTAGTATTTTAGGAGACATCTACATTAAACTTATTAAAGGGTGGGGTCACGCCCACTTTTTCAAAAAAATTTACCCACAGCTGCCACTTGTTACTGCGATCTTCTGTGCCAAGTTAAAGTTAGTGAATTCTTAATTTAGTGCTTAGTTACGATTTGTGGGCGTGGCAGTGGTCCGATTAAGCTCATCTATGGACTCGTTTTTTTTTTTGTAGATACTAAGAAACTCGGTTATCAAGTTTCATATATTTTGCAGATATCTTTTGCAAAAATGACGAGTAAAGATCGAAAAAGAGAAGATGCATGACAACATAGCTGAGTGTAGGGTCAACCATCAAACGCTGAATATGACAATCCAACAATCAAGTATGCAAAATTGGATTAATGCTTTTCATGTTTGTGTTGGCTCAAATGCACATTTTGAAGATGATAATAAAGATTTCAAATAAAATACATGAAAATATAGCTTCTTTATGTCTGTTCGGATAATTTTTGATCAGCTGTGTATTTACAGAATTTTCAAGAAGAATGATGACGTATATTTGTTAATAAGAAGCCAAAGTCAAACGAAAGAGAGTTGCTAAAAGTCAATCGCTGGTTTTAGTTATCTAAAGTCAAATAAGAATATGGTATTGAAAATGGCATGATATGGATAGTAGGCGCTGCCAATTCTAAACCTTTTTGCATTACATATTCTTTTCCATTGTTTGACTCCTCGTGTGAAAAGTGAGTTTTGTGACAAATAGCCGTTATAAATATGTGGGCATCATCCGGACCGGACTTCTTCTAAATATCGTCCATGATATGTTCCTTTTCATTTTAGTTATTCGCTGATTTCTCTAACAACGGTCAGAGAGTGAAAAATCAATTAGTATTCTCATTTGAATTTTTTAATCACTGAACAATTTAGCTCAATTTCAATATTCAAAATAATCATTACTCCAAAAAATACTGCGTTCAAAAAAGATTTTTTCAAACAACAACCGTGAGGGGTATAAACTACACAGCCGATAATTCATAATTTATTCTGTCTCAACTCATTAATAACTATATTTTCTCTTAGCAACTGTTTGCAGCTTCGCACTCACTCTTTAAATTTTTAAATTTTATTTGCACGACACTAAAGCGTTTCATTGACCTAAGCGTGCGCCAGCGAAAGGCTTTACCTCGCGTTGCTAAGCGTTGCTAAGCGTTACGCTTCTCTGCTCAACCCATATTGCACAGTTATGTACGCGCAATTGACTGCACGCTGTCACAATTTAAACGAATTATCAAGATAATATTAATAATATAAACATATACGATATTATATCATACAACAAAAACAACAAGTGACGCTTGAGCTGCGAAAAATTTCTAATTTCACATTTCTATGCGAAACTTCAATGAGCTCACGGAGCGCGCCAATAAGCGAGCGAGTGCGTGACACTTGCGTGCGCTTCAATGATTCCAACAAAGACAACAAACTCATGGTGGAAAATTCAAATGTGTGGGAGCAATGACTTCCCCACCGCGAAACCACCAGCGCGCGGACACCGCTTAGCACAACTTAATTAATAAAACGGTGGGGAGAAATGAACGACAAAAATAAAAAATATAAATAAAATTAATGAAAAGTAGGAAAAGCAAAAAAGTTGTCTATCAAAAGCAAAAGTTTTTTGTTTTGTTGCTTTTGATTAATTACTTCGCTTGTCCGCGTCACTCGCTCGCTCGCTCCAGCGCCTGTTGCTTCTGCATGTATGCTAATGGCTTGTTTTTAACAGTTAGCTGCGCACTAATTAAAAACTTCTGTTTACAGTTATGTATAGTGTTGAGTTGTTGCAAGTACACACCTGCGTGTTGTTGCGCATTTGATTGATGGCCGCAAAGGAGGCGATGCAGTGGCCGGGATTTTGATGATGCGCCTGCGGCAAGACCTCCTCATTCGGACCCGGTGGGCTTAAGTCGCTTGGTGTTTGTGTGGAATTGTTGCTGGTGGTAGTGACGTCCTCATTGTTGCCACCCGCGGAATTATTCTCCGTTGAGCTGCAAAGAAAAGCGCAAGGAAGACACATACAAATTTTGATATTAAAATTTATGCATGAAGTCGTAAAGCTTAGGCTATAAAAAAGATGCTGGCGGTAAACGCTTTAGACATTTACTGTATCAAATAACGTGTTTAGGAAGGAATCGAATTTTGTGCTATAAAATTATAGCTTATCTGTCAATTGGTTTATAGTTAATTAAGGATTATAAATTATATTCTTTTGTGCGAAAAAAGTTGTCTCGAAAAGTTTTTATTTTGCTCTTTAAAAGTTTAATGTTAAATATGACAAAAATGCTATGCACCATTTGGATAGAAACGATCGCCAATATTTGGCAAGAAACTCGGCCTGTCGATTTTCACAAGTTTTATTGAGGAGAAGTTTTCACCCGAAAAATTATTCATCCTAGACAGAATTGGCAGTAATCACTTGGTGCCAGGTCTGGACTATATGGTAAGGTGTATACTTAAGAACCTCCAAACTAAGCTCGCGAAACTTCCTATAAGTCACTACCGCAATGAGTGGCCCGGCGTTGTCCTTATGAAACACAATTCCTCTCTGATTGAGCAAATCTGATCGCTTCTGGGCGATTACCTCCCATCAGACGGTCTAACTCTTGACAGTACTGGAAAGAATTAACCGTTTGTCCGTAGGGGAAAAGATCATAGTAAATGAAAGGAGACACACAGCAAAACCTTCCTGACCGTCAACTCTGACTTGTGTATCGTTTGTGCAGACTCACCCCCATTCGATTTGTTTTTTATGATTCAGTAAAGATTCGCAGAAAAAATGTAGTTGTTGCAACGGTTATCAAGTCCCCGTTAGGGTAGTAAGGTTCAGATAAGTTGTGAACGAAGTTATCCAACGGTAGGGCCAGGAAATGTGTTGTTTCGACGAGATGGATGAGGGATGTCAGATCTATAGCTATGGGGGGACTTTTTGCACGCTGCACATATATTTTACATGCCGGAGTCGAATCTAGATAAGTAGAACCTTAATTTGCTGCAGTATCCAGAACGAAGCTGCGCAAGAGTCATTCTCGATGTTCACGGAAAACTCGTCGTCTGCGATGGGCGGTGCTTTGACTCCAAGTACGACATGCGGTGAAGGAGTTTATGGCTCCACTGTAAATAGCAATCAATGCATGCCTGAAGTTAGTTACTTCTGATGGCTGGTCGTCGTATTGTCTTATATTGTTGACGAAGTTGTGGAAGGACCTTTTGATGCTTCTAGGAGGCGGTTCCGTTTCAAGCAGCTAATTGCAGGGATGGTTTCGACGAAACCACATAAGTAAAAACTGGTTTTAAAGGAGTGTTTTCACTACTGGGGAGAGGAGAGTTATCGGATGATGGGCCTCCCCCAGCATTATTACTGTCGGCCTAGTAAGGAAAACAATATTCTTGTAAGCTAGAGAAGCATTTTAATAATTTTTGAAATACTTAGAAAGAAGTTTTATTTTTAACTGAAAAAGTCGCAAACTATACGCAATATTGAAAATATTGCAGAAGTTTCTCAAGAACACGAGTACTTCAGATGCAAAAAGCATTCTTTGATGATACCAAAATCGTCAAAAATTTGGATCCATCTACTTCTATAAATGCGGATGACATCCAGAATTAAATTAAAGATACAGCTTGAAAATCGTTGTGTGGGCAACAGAGAGATGACAGAGGATCTCTACATCTCTTAGGGATCGACACAACCATTTTGCTTAACGTTTTGTTGAAGAGTGTCAACGCTTGCTTCACAAAAGTCCTGAATCTATTACAAAAAGGACTTTGATCACTCTTGTATCACAATCTAGCGAATGGCGCTCCAAATCCACACTGGAACTGGAAAATCATGTTATGCGTGGGCGTATTATTAGCTCAGTAAACAATTTTTAAGACTATCATTAATAATTTTGTATAAAAATAATAAAAATATTGTTTTTTATTGTCAGTCCGGGTCAAAGTTGCTCAGATGGTACATACTACATATGTATATATACTTAATATTGCGTAAACGCCGTGTTAACTCCACCGCAACAAACGTAGAAAGTGCTTGACCTGAGCTGAGCTGAACTCACATGACCAAAGCTAACCTCTTTGGCTGCCGGCCCGTCTCGGTTGCTTACTTTCAACCGCCAACTATTCTTAAATGAGCAATTTTTCACTGAGACAGGATTATCTTATCGCAACAACACCAAGTGTTGTGAATATATTCAACCAGTTTTCAAAAAGTGAGGCAAGCTTCCACTTTGCAGTCAAAACAAATTGCCAAATCAACTTGAAAAATTCGTCTGGCTTTGTCTGCATGATTTCTGTATGGATAAGTTCCCCTGCTTACATGAACTGTTTGTGTGTGTGCGCGGCGCTTGTCTGCGCTGCGGTATTGGCGCTTCACAGTCCCTGTCGGCCTCCCATTAGCATATACATATATATATGTAGATAGATTTTAGGCCATCTTCTGTATTGGTTTACTGCCGTGTCACTGCATTAATAGTCCTGCCCACCGCACATAACGGTACAGGCGTGTACAAATGTGTGTATAAATATGTATAAATGCAGAAAATTGCCAGTGATTGCGGACACAGTGACTTGTCTGCCTCTGCTGATTTCCACATTTCCCTCCCGCTTTCCGTCACGGCCTGCCATTTTCTAGGATTTTCAGTGACAACATTTTGCGGCTTTGCATGATTGATTCTGGCGCTGTCGAGTGGCTTAGAGCACATTTCAAATGTAATTTGGTTGCTCATTTTGTGCTTTCGACTGCACTAAGTGGCAATTTGGACATGATGAAATTTCCGAATGCGGCATTTCATTTGCAATTGGCAAGTGATGAAATGAATCTATTTTTGAAAAGCGTTGCACATTTTTATTGAGTGGAATACAATTTGAGTAGTTGATGGGTTATAGTAATAGTTTTAAGTGACAATATCTGGGTCGGTCTTGTTCTGATGTATCTGGGTCAGAATTAAGTAATAAATTGATAACAATATATTCTCCATTTGAGAGATTGTAAGGATATGTTGCTTCTAAGACCTATTTAGACCCTTCTTGGAGGGACTTGCTCGTCTGAATCCCATTTATTTTTCTCTAGAAGTAATAAAGCTCTCATAAAAATATTCTTTTTGGAAAAGATTCCCTACATATCCATCAAAATACGAAATTCCATTGAGCGCATTTAACCCCCAAGTAAGACAAATAAATTTTTTCAAATCATTGTCAACAGTCGTCAACGCCTAAAAGCAGACTTACTTGTATGCCAACAGACCACAAGCCAGACAAATAGCAGTGACAGCGAGACAACTGGGCGACAGAAAAATTGAAAATAAATAGTAGAACAATGCAACAAAAAGCACATAAAAAGACACTGACGAAGGGAAGGCGGAAGAAATGTTGGGTGACCAATGCGCATAGCAACGGACATGAATGTTTTGGTTATTGTGTTGGCAAAGTTGAACAAATATTTCGGATGGCGTCATATTCATGTTAAAAGTATTTTACTTTAATTCAAGTGGAATAATGTAATTATTTGCTATGCGGAATTCTAATGCTACGAGTTTACGGTGGACTATTGTCTACATGGAAAAGTTAAGTAAGGGAAGAAGTGATAGTGCTGAGAGTAGTTATCTATTTTCCGCACATCGATACACTGTTATGATTAAAACACGCTCTACCATTTTCATTGAGATAACTCACATATTGGCCGATTTAAGCGGTATAAAGTCACCCGGAAGTTCAAAAATCTTTACATTAAGCATATGTGGACTCAGGGAAGTATTAGGGCGATCCAAACCATTTTCGGCACATTAGTATTATCTCTGAATTTCAATTGTATGCCCCATACACTGACCGATTTTTTCAGTCGAAAGTCAACTACAGATACCCAGATATTCGCTACCTCGGGTTTTAAACTTACGTACAGCTGAAAACGATACCATTGGTTTTCGGAAAAGGAAAAAGAACAGTTGGTAGGATGAGGGATTGCCGTGTCGCAGTGAACAGAAAACAGACTGCCTACCTCGGAACGTTATAATTGACCACAACATGTGAGGGATGCTATAGATACCGAGAGTTGAAGAAGGAAGCTAGACGCGTTTGCAGATAGAGAAAGTGTAAGACCGAAGTACGAAGTACGAAAATACGACGGGCTTAACAAGCTGGCCAACAGAGGTTATGCTCGAAAATTCTACGAAGAAATGTGTCGTCTAACAGAAGGTTAAGACCGAAATATACTCTTATACAACGCCCAGAGGTGACTGATGCCCCGACCTTAATAAAATTATGGAGGGAGCACTTCTGCAGCCTGCTGAGTAGCAGTGAAAGCATAATAGCAGAAGCAGTCAAAAACACTACTGCCTTCCTTCCTTTTCCTTCCTTATCGAGCAAAACGTGTGTGGCAAAAACTCAGAAATCAGCCATCTTTGTTTGTTTTCATTTGAACAATGTTGCCATTGCTCAATACGCATATATAGTTTTGTACACATCTATGTTTTCAATTACAATTTTTCATAATATAAAATATCAAAACTGCAAACAAACTATTAAAAATAGTTTATATATTTATGAATAATAGCATTCGACTCTGATTTTGAGTTATTTTAAGAAAATTTCAAACATATTGAATAGATTGAATATAAAAGTTAAAAATTACTACAGTATATAGATATTGGCAACCCTGCGTTGTGAGAGAGCAATCAGCTGACACGTTTCTACGGCAAAAATCCAAATGCCGTGAATTCTCACGGCATCCTACGTCAAAGAGAGAAGGGAGTAGCGTGTTTCACTGTTCACTTACATTGCGCGCCCATAAGATGGGTCATATCAGCTGACACGGGCCATGATTCTACGTTCTCCACTGTTTCTGCTATAACATCAAGAGATGATGAACCCGATTTCCCAATCGATGACGATGGAGCGGACGTCCCATGAACAAGTTTGAATAGCAATTAACCATCTGAAGAATAACAAAGAAACGATAGACTACCGGCTGAGCTATTCAAAAATGGTAAGGAGAATGCGTCAGCTTCTTTGTAGAATATAGTCGAAAGAGAGCAAACCGGACGGTTGAAATTTAAGTGTGCTCTGCCCAATCTACAAAAATATGAGAGCCCACAATCTGGTAAGCCTCCTCAACATCGCATATAACGTTCTGTCGAGTGAAAAGAGGAACGACACATATCACAACTTCGGCGTTTTAAATCTGCTTTTGACAGCACGAAAAGGAGCTAATATTATGCCGCCAAGTCTGTATTTGGTATCCCCGAAGCCTATACCGCTGTGTAAGATAACGTTGAGCAATACGAAAAGCTGCGTCAGGAACGGGAAAACACCGCTCCGAGCCGTTCCATATCAAACGAGTTTTCAAACAGGGCGCCTCCCATTCATGCGAATATCTAATCTTGGAGAGAATAATTCGAGCTGCAGAACTATATAGAGAAGGTTCCATCTTCCATAAAAGTGTACATCTGCTGGCATATGCCGATGATAACAAAGCGAAGCAAAGGGGTCTGGTAGTGAACAAGGGCAAGACGAAATATCTCCTGTAATCAAACAAACAGTCGTCGCACTCGCGACTAGGCACCCACGTAACTTTTAACAGTCATAACTTCAAAGTCGCAGATAATTTCGTCTATCTTCAAACCAGCACCAACACCAATAACAACGTCAGGTGTCTACGCCATTAAAGAATAGTTTTACACAAAATTACATTAATTTTCAAATTGCTTGAACAGAATCTTTATGTGCCTTATATCCAGTGTCAGGTGTATTTAACTTAGAAACTTCAATCCACAACTTTCCTATAGGGCACTTGCGGCTATTAGGAGCTTTACGGCTTGACAACTGCAGTCAATACTTTACATCGACATAAACCGTAATGTGCATACTCGAACATTACCAGCTCGCTGGGACAGCCGCATCAACTGTGTTGGCGTAGTTATACTTTTATGTCTTCACCCGAAAGTAAGTACTTAATACTTTCGTGCTCATATGTAGGGTAATATGTGTAATAAATATTGAGGGTGCAGTGCTTTGTGGTGCGAGAGTAATGACCACGCGGCGCTTGTAACATGGAAAATCCGTGATTTAGGCGACAAGCCGATACACCCAGTCCCAAACGGGGCATTGTCTGCATAAGAAAGTGCGCTCTGTCACGACGAATTAACCATTTTGGGGTGGAATGTGGAAAACTGTTTGAGTAAGTGTTAGGAGTTGGCTATGTTAGAGCGATTTGTGGCTGAGTTTTTGAGCTTCTTCATAAATTTTAATGTTTTGTGAGTAGGAAAAAAAGTTGCTTTTAAAAATATAAATCATATTTACTTACATATTTGATTTAACTGGCAGAAACATGTTAGTTTTTGTTTTTATTTGCTTGCGTGTTGCTGTAAAAATTCCTCCTGCTATGGATGAGCTAGGAAAATTTGTAATGGCAGTGTATGTTTTTCCACGACACTCGTGTTTTTCCAATCTTTTTTTTTATTTAGTGATCCATTTCGGTAGCGCGTCTTCCGTCACACACTTTCGTTATTTATTTTACACCAATTGCCTCTTACTTCACCGTTCTATTGGCTGGTTTGCTGATTACAAATCTACTTGAAATTCGAGCTTACCACCACTTTAGACAAACCACGCACACTTATGCATGTGTTGTATGTGAAAAATTTGTAGAAATTCTTTTTGTGGTTGTTGTATTTGATTCCTTGGCACACACTTCAGTCACGAGTGCTTTCAAAGACACAGCTGTTTTGGATCACACGCACTTCTGGGCAGCTGATCTGAAGTGGGTGCTCAATTTAGTTGAAGTCTGGCAGTAAATAGACCTTTTGTAAGCAAAAATTGTTTACGCTTCGAGTCCGTCTTTTTGTCTGTAAGTTAAAGAGTAATGAAGAGTTTTTAGTAATATAAATATCTTTGGATACGGTGGTTTATTTAGTCAGAGTTGTATGTATGATAAATATAATATAGATATAAATACATATAGCCATTTAGAGGTATTTATATATGTTCACAGCAACCATCTGTATATTCAGTTAAACCGCAAATACTGCTTTAAGCTGAAATCTTCTCAATGAAAGTCAAACAAATTGCTATTAACTCGCATGTATAGCACACTTTTAGGCGATTAAAACCACCCTCAAGCAAGCATGCGAGTCAAATGTACGAAATACCAACACATAAAAAGCTCTCGCGAGTGTATAAAAGCACGAAAAATATTTGGGTCAATTCGCCAATCAAGAATACAAACGCATACTTATGCAAATATACAAACAAACAGAGATGCATACACACATACAAATCGTGTATAAATACTTGCAGAGAAAAAATGTTGAAACTGAAATGTGGAACTACCCTGAACAAGGTATACGTAAATTAAGTTTGTGACGAAATATGTAACATACTGAAGAAAAACTCAAAGACCCCTGAAAAAAATAAAGACCGACCAATTCTAAGTGCTATGGACAACTTTTTTATTTGAGATGATATCGTCACGAAATTTTGCATGAATAACGGCATAATCTCCGAATAAATTGTTGAGTTCGGACCACTGTAGCCTATAGCTGCCATACAAAGTGATCGACCAAAATCATTTTCTTATATGGAAAAGTTTTTTATTTGAAAAGATATCTTCACGAAATTTGATTAAGGTTATTGCTATAGGCAACGGTACAATTACCCAAGAAATTGTTCAGATCGGGCCACTATAGCATATAGCTGCTATACAAAGTGATTGATCAAAATCATTTTCTTATATAGAAAACTCTTTTATTTGAGAAGATATGTTCACGAAATTTTCCACGAATAATTCCCCAAAGCAACGGTCTAATCTCCGAACAAATTCTTTGGATCGGATCACTATATAATATAGCTGCCATACAAAGTGAACGATCAAAATCAACTCTTTGTATGGCAAGTTTTTTTATTTGACATGATATGATCACGAGATTCTGTACAGACTATTATCTAAGATCAATAAATTGTTCAGATCGGATGACTATGGCATATAGCTGTCATACAAACTGAACGATTAAAACCAAGTCCTTGTATGGAAAATTTTTTATTTGGCGATATATCTTTCCGAAATTCGAGAGAAATCATATTCCAATACGGATGCAACCCTACAAATTGCGAAAAAATCGTTCAGATACAAACTAAACTATAGAATTCAAGTTAAAGGAGAAGGGTATTCTATTTCTATATACTCACAAACAAGTGAATATTTATACACATACCTCGCCCCCCCTCCCACCCCAACAAACATACATAAACATTAATTGTGTCGACATAGTACATTTAGATAGCAAATGATAAATGAAAGCACGCAAAACAATTGTCCTTGTCTACTTTGGCATTGGTTTTCCGTAAACACACAAACAAAGTCACATAAATAGCGTGCAAGACAGCTGCTGTGAGCCGCCTAAAGTAGTGAAATCTACTTAGTCATACCACCCATTCGTCGTCTCCGTTGCTTGGCATTGTCTGATGAAGTGTCAAAATCGATGTCGCACACTGCGCAGCTTTATTTTGGAATTCCGTAGGTTTTGTTATCTGCCTATACATAATAACGACTTTAATACACACGCAGATAGGAGAACAGCAATTTAGCTGTTAAGCGCCTGTGTGTATACTATACTTTAAGTTACATGCTTTTCGTGTTGCTTTTGTAGTCATATTTTTCATTTGAAGTTCAGAAAATCACTTCTGCTTAATCGAGTGCGAAATTTGAAATTGTGTAGCAAATTATCGCTGGCGTCAAATAAAGTTATATTTTACAGCATATGGCGTACTTTTAGGCGCACAAGCACTTTATTAAAGAGAACAAATTTTGAAGTGATTTTCAATTTTTTTTTTTGTTAAATTTGAATTAATAGCTGATATTATTGTTTCTAGATATTATAATAGAAAAAAATCAAATCAATTCGTGGAAAATTGTTTCTTAAGAGAATAATGCGGATCTTTTCAAAGACAAAGAAAGTCAGACGAACTATTATGAGTCTAAAAAATTAAGTTAAAAGGGCTTAGGAAAAATATAATTGGAGTTTTGGGATAAGAAAGACTATTACTACGATTTATAGAAGATAATGTTCGTGCAGTTACCTACGATCGAAAAAAATGGAGGAGTTTTTAAAAAAATAATTCGAGTTATATATAAAATTTTGATCATTTTTTCCTGCAGAAATCCTTTTTTTATCAGGTCTAAAAAAATAAGGCAATACCTCTGGTTACCCACCACTGCGTCGAATACTCTCAGAGCTGGAGTGTTTTCATACATTCAGACGACATAACCTACCCAGCGTAGCCGCTGTCTCTTAATTCGCTGAACTATGTCAATGGCATCGTATAACTCATACCGCTCATCGTTCCATCGAATGCGATGTTCGCCGTGCTAAACGCGTAAAGCGCCATAAATCTTCCACAGAACCTTTCTCGAGAACTCGTAAAGTCGACTCATCAGATGTTATAAACGTTCATGCCTCTTCACTTTATAGTAGAACGGGAATGATGAGTGACTTGTAGAGTTTGGTCTTTGTTCATCGAGAGAGAACTTCACTTTTCAATTGTCAATTCAGTTCGAGGTAGAATCTACTTGTAAGAGTTATTCTGTGTTAGATTTCTGACATTGTTTTTGGTCTTAATGCTGGTTCCAAGATAGACGAAATTATTTACGACTTCGAAGTTATGACTGTCAACAGTGATGTGGGAGCCAAGTCGCGAGTGCAACTACCAGATCCATTTACTTTCTTTCCTTAGCCAGTCTCGGTTTAGTTCTTCAGCTCGAATTATTTTCTCCAAGAGCAGATTGAAGAAGTCGCACAAAAAGGGGTCGCCTTGTCTGAAACCTCGTTTGGTATCCAACGATTCGGAGTGGTGCTTCCCGATCCTAACGGAGCTTTTGGTATTGCTCAACGTCATCGCGGCATAAAGGCAGCTCCTTTTCCTGCTGTCAAAAGCAGCTTTGAAGTTGACGAAGAGGTGCGTATCGATATCGGATCAGTTTGGTGTAAAACAGTTATACCAGCGGATTATTCAAAATCAAATGCTTTTATGGAGAGTTTTGTATTTGTGAAGAGTCTCATCGCTTGAGTCCAACCAAAGTTGATGTTTTTTCTGGTGTTTAATATTTCACTATTTAGGCAAATTCGCTTCACAAATATAGTTTTTTTTTTTTTTTTTGTATTTTCTTGAGGTCAACTGCATCGATAGAAATGGAATGGCAATGAGTTGAAATAAACTTTCGCCACTTTCGTTACAACTCCCGTCAATCATAACCAAAAATTAACGGTAGACGCGCCACTTGCAGACATATTAGCCAATTTATCAAGCCCACGTGCCCAAAACCGGTATTAACGGTATAGCAGGCAAACAAAGCCAAAGTGCAGTTACGTGCAACCAACAGACAAATAGACTTTAGAAACCTTGTATACACTCACACATACAGGTGCAAACATTTATATACTACAGACATGCATTGGGTGTGAAAAGCACGAGCCAGTCTCCTGCTATGCATACATGTACATATGTGCCAATGTGTATATACATATGTTTGTATAATACATACATATTTATGTCTGCAACAGCCGCCTATTTGTCTGGCGGCAAGACATTCACTTCAGGCACATGCAGACACACATGTGGCAGAGTAGGCGCACATACAAATGCATGTGTCTGGCCACTTTGCAACGTTTGCGAAAAAAGCAACAACAACAACACAAAGTGCTGTGACGCGCTTTTTTAATTTTCTCTCATTTTTTTCTTCTTTCCACTTAATTGCAATTGCAAATTTTTGCTGTATTTTCACTTGGCATATGTTTGTATGTGTGTGTGTGTATATATATATTTATTTACTAGCGCAAGCACGCATTGAATGCAAAAAACATGCAACAACAAAAGATGTTTATTGTAAACGCACGACCCAACCGACACACTGTGCCACATTTGGCGGCACAAAGCTAGCGACAAATTGCAGTAACAGTCAAGCTACAAATAACCGACGCGCATGCATATATATATACATATATATAAAGTATATACATGCATTTAGTGCCTGCGCGGTTATGGAAAACATGCGTTGTGTGTTGTTGTAGGCGCTTTGAGTGCAGCTTTTGATGTCGCAGCGCATTTGTTGCACCTCGCCGCAACTTAAATATTTACAAAGCGCTTGTAAAAGTGCAGTTACGCTTATGCTTGTTGATGCATGTGTGTCAACACGCATTAAACGCACCAATAATGCTTAAATTAAGCTGCAGAAATTTAATTAACTTGCAAAGTCAGCATTTAATCGCTTTGTACTTGGGTGTGTGTGAGTGCGAGCGTGCTGAAGAGCGCATAATGTATTCAGTTATGGAAATGTTAGCGTCAGTGATGGCAATGGTGTGACATTCACTTTATTTATTGCGGCTTTATGTACTTGCTACATTTATTGTATAGTATATTTTCATATGCTGAAATGCGTGAGTACGAAGAGCTTGGCCAGCTGGCCGACAGGGGTAATGCTCGAAAATTCTACGAAAAGATGTGGCAACTTATAGAAGGTTTCAAGCCCGGAGCATACTCTTGCAGAACTCTCAAAGGTGATTTACTGACTGATGGCCAGAGCATATTAAAGTTATGAAGGAACGCCAGTTCCAGCCTGTTGAATGCCAGTGAAAGCATATCACAGGGAGATGGTGAACCCGATTTGCTAATCGATGACGATGGAGCGGACATTCCGTTGTCTGACCATGTCGAAGTTTGAATAGCAATTACCGTCTAAAGAACAACAAAACGGGAGGGCCGATGGATTGCCGGCCGAGCTATTCAAATAATGCGGCGAAGAATTGATCAGGAGAATAGGTCAGATTCTCTGCAGAATATGGTCGGACGAAAG